CGAGCGGCGCGGGGCTGGTGAGGGCCGGGCCGGGTGAGGGTGAGGGCAGCGCCCCGGGCTGGGCCTGTCGGTGGGGAAGAGCACAGGCTGCAAGGCAGGTCTAGCTGGGGCTCTGCGCCTTCCACCTCCCTGTCTCAGTTTGCTGGTTTTCCTCCAGCTCCGGTGTCGGCGGGCGGCGCGGCGCCCCCGGAGGGGGCCATGTCTAACGGAGTTTATGTGCTGCCGAGTGCGGCCAACGGAGACGTGAAGCCGGTGGTGTCCAGCACGCCTCTGGTGGACTTCCTGATGCAGCTGGAGGATTACACGCCTACGGTGGGCTTCCTGCCTGAACTAGGTTATTGGCCCGCTGTCACGCAAGCTTTCTGCCATACCACCTGGATTTCCAACGCCCTCTTCTTGTACTTGACCCCCTACTAACTTGTGATTTGTCCCCTCTGCCCACCCAAACTGAGATTCCTGATAGCCAGGCCTGTCCTCCTGCCCTCACCCGCTCTCAGCCCTGCATTGCCTATTGTGAACACTGACAGTTGTCTAATTGATTTCTCAGATCCCAGATGCAGTGACTGGTTACTACCTGAACCGCGCTGGCTTTGAGGCCTCAGACCCTCGCATGTGAGTAAATTCTGGACAAGTTAGAGCCTTGGGTGCTTGTGTGGGGTTTGCTGTCCATCTCCTTATACCAGTTTTTTCTCTCTAGAATTCGGCTCATCTCCCTAGCTGCCCAGAAATTCATCTCAGATATTGCCAACGATGCACTACAGCACTGCAAAATGAAGGGCACAGCCTCTGGCAGCTCCCGAAGCAAGAGCAAGGTGTGAGGGGAGGTTCATTGAATCAGTAATTACCTCCCACAGCAGCAGGCTTAATTTATCTTGCAACCCCTTTGGGGAGACTAAGCCCTAGGGGAGGTAAAAAAAAAAAAACTACTCAGGTCACCCACCTGGGATTGAAATCAGGACTCTTGTGTTCAGCTGGTGCTCTTCCCTTTTCCCTCAGGACCGCAAGTATACTCTAACCATGGAGGACTTGACCCCTGCCCTCAGCGAGTATGGCATCAATGTGAAGAAGCCGCATTATTTCACCTGAGCCACCCAACCTATATGTACTTGTCTGTCTCCTTGTCCCCACACCAGCCTGTTTTCATAATAAACTTTATTGTGACAGGCAGGGCTGATCCCTCCCATGCTGGGAGACACCGTGTGGCAAGTGACAAAGCTCTGAGCCCAGCCCCTTTTGGGGCCACAGTGGTAGGGATGGGGGCAGGGGATGGGCCCCATGGCTGGGGTAGTACCATGACTGCAGGCAGGGGAGGCAAACAGAGGCCTGCTGCTTTGGGGAGGTGCACTCCCCCGTGTCCCACACCTCTGAAGTTTAGGCAAGGACTTTCCAGCCCTACTTGTCCTGCATCTTCTCCAGGATAGGCACGATCATGTCAAACTTGGGCCGCTTAGCAGGGTCTTCATTCATGCAGATCTTCATGAGCTTACACACATGAGGGGAAATGCCTGGTGGGATGGTAGGCCGAAGGCCTTCTAGTGCCACCTGTAAATACAGGCGAAAACAAGGTCAGTCTCAGGACTTGAGTCTTATGTAGTGAGAGGTCTCCAACCCTCAGGACAGGATTACTGTATATTTGAACAAATGTGGGAAAAGCCCAGCCCCTCTATAATTATTGTCACTACCCCCGCCATTCCCCCAACACACGTGCTCTCACCTTCATTCCAATCTCCATGTTGGAGAGGTCAGCAAAGGGTACTTCCCGTGTCACCAGTTCCCACAGAAGCACTGCAAAACTCCACATGTCTGCTGAGCGTCTGTTTGTGTCTTCAGGCTTCTTTTGCAGCGCTGGAGGGACAGGACTTAATCTGTTCCAGATGCCTATCCTGTCCTGTCTGCCCCCTTCCACTGCTGCTGAGCTGGCCCTTCTCTACCTCCCAACATAATCTCACTCACCTTCAGGGGCCACCCAGGCAGGCGCATACATACGCCCAGGGCATTGGAAGGAGAACTTGACATCAGCCATGCTGATTCGGGCAGTCATGTCCTCATCAATCTGAGGGAGAGAAGACAGATATGTGGAAGGAGGTAAGTCCTATCATAGGGAAAGGTCTTCTGGGAGACTGAGCCAGGAGGGAAGTTGTGACCTCACCATTACACTACGGCTGTTGAGTGCATGTCGTGGGATGAGGGGCTCTAATGTGTGTAGGAAGGCCATGCCCCTTGCCATGTCCAGTGCAAACTTCACAGCCTGGCTCTGGTCCACGACAAAATCTAGGAGAAGAGGCAATAGTCAGATAGCTTGGAGAAGCTCACACACCCTCTACCCACTTCAGTGAGATCTGGCATCCCCTACTCACTGGTGCCTTCATGTAGTACATTGTACAGGGATCCATATGGCATCCAGTGTGTGATGAGAGTTGGGTGAGGAGCAGGTGGAGACTGGCAGAAACCTAGCACTGGGAGCACATTCGGATGCGAGAAAATCCTGGGAGAGGAAGAGAGTGTCCCTGGCTGAGACCCAGCATAAAACATCTCCCTCTTGGGTTCTAGTCCGGTTTCCTTGAAAGCACTAGCTTCCAGTTTAGGCCTTCCCCCACCTGAGCCGGGGACACTCCTCGTTGAAGTCCCTGCTCTTCCTTGTACTCCAATCTCGAACCTTCAGCACCTTCATGACGATGTCATTGCCCTGCCAGCGGCCCTTCCACAGCTGAGAGACAGGTAAGGGTTAGGAGGCTTTAACTAAGGCCATCACTTTCATGCCCACTAACTGGAGAAGAAAAAAGAGGTGTAGAGCATGTAATTTGGGGAGTTTGGGGAGGGAGGGCCATGAAAGGCAGGGGTCACCTCTCCAGAGTGATTCTCGTTGATCTTTCCCAGGAAGTTGAGTTGTTTGAAGTCAATGCCGGAGTGTTTGTTCAGAGTCCCATTTCCTGAGAGTGTGAGGAGGTCAGGTACCCAACTCCCCCCTAACCCAGCCCACGGAGCCCAGGATTATTCCCTATTACCACCCTTCCCTTCACAACTGACTCACTGGGCCGAGTGCGGGTGGTCCCCTTCCAGAATGTGTCCTTGTATGGAATACGGTTGAGATTCTGGCCCATCTTCTCTGCCCGCTCTGGGGAAAAAAGACAAACAGTCTTGGCCTCAGCTGTGGTATGGAGAGAGGAGACAGGCAGGAACAAAAGAGGACACAAGTTGGGGGTTGGAGGACAGACCTCGGAGCAGCTCTCTCAGGGGTGCCTTGGCTTTGTCCACAGGCATTTCTCCATACTTGTTGCATATGCTGACAAGGGCCCCATTAGCCACCAGGTCCTGGAATAAAAAGGTGGTTGTGATGAGGGACCCTGCTACCTCCCTGGCAGTCATGACCAACCATGAACGCAGATGCAGTACAAACCCTATGAGTGTCATATACTCTGCAGGGCTCACAGGACAGGATGAGGATTCCAGATCTCCTACTGAGGCTCAGACTTTACTTCCCACCCATCCCAGGGCTTAGGGCCTGAGTACTTACCTCTGCCACCTGATCTTGACCCCAAAAACAGGCATAGTGCAGGGGCACATTCCCATGCTCATTCACTGCATTGATGTCAGCTTTGTACTGCAGCAGCTGATCCCCAGGGCCAGACAGAAAGAAGAGGCAGAAGGCACAGTCAGTCCCAAATGAGAGATGAGTGTTGAGGCATGTGAGGAGGGAGAAGACTACACATGCTTTTTCCAGTATGTTACAGTGCCTGTGGCTGACTTCTAGGCATGTATGTGATGGAGGGGAATCATATATACCTTCTGTACAATATCCCGGTGTCCATGACTGGCTGCCAGGTGCAGGGGGGTGTCATCCCCACGGTTCATCACATTGATTCGTGCCCCCCGCATAATCAGCATCTCAACCACAGCAGAGCGGCCCTCTCTGCAGGCCCAGTGCAAGGGGGAGAAGCCATGATCGTCCCTTTGAAGGAAGGGGCAATAGTCATTTATCTGGAGGTGGAATCAGGGCAAAGGCCTTAGTATAGTCCCTCTGCATACTCACCCTGGGAAACCTTACCTCTCCAGGACTTCAATTCTCATTCATGTCAGTAATGTCCCAAACTGTCCAATTCAGACCTTCCCCTGAGCTTCAAACCCATCCCCCAACAAGTTCATATGATTCATTGTTTTTACCACCGTCTCCCACCAGCCATTCTTCTCTGGCAAACCCTATCTCATTAAATGGTAGCATTCTTCATCTGGTGTCCTCTGCATCCCTTTTCCAGCATCTGTTTGTCCTTTCTGTTTTCCATTGCATCTTGTACATCCCCCTACTATAGTACTATCACTGGATCGTAAAAATTTGTTAACGGGTTGTCTTGTCAGACTAAGGTTCTTGCAAGAATGGACTGACAGCAGGGGTTCAGTGCATGTTAGGGGTGTGGGGTATTGGAGAAGGAAGGCCACAACTCATGGGAGAGGGAGCAAACTTACTGATTGGCTCTGGTACTAGAACTAATTTTAAAAAGGAATGGAATTAAAAATGAAGTTTTGGAAGGGTTTATAACGAGAAGGAGAAATGCTTTTGAGAAGTCATTACTGATGAGGCAGCAATCAAACTATCACATAAAACAGGATTGCTCAAGCAATCTGGGCATAGAAAACAAGAAAATAAGAGTGGCTTGTAGAAAGAAAACTATACCTGACTTTTTTTCTTTTCCCAAGGATGTGTATTTTATAAAGTCAAAGAAGTATACAAAAAAAAACAAAAAAAAAACACACAATTGGGTGGGAGCTGGGCCTGCCTGACAGCCTGGGGCCATAAAAGGAAATTCCATCCAGTCCCAGAGGCAGATCCAAGGGGCGGAGCAGGGGGGCGGTCTGTGGTTTGGGCAGACTGCCTCCGGATGCTTTAGTGCTGTGGTCACTTCCCGTGTGGGGGCTCTAGGCTGGGCCTGGAGTTGATCAGGGGTCTTGCTGCCACAGGCCACCAAAATGCCCCAACAGCTTAGGGGAAGGTGTGGCCTTTAACAATGATTTCCCTCCACAGCTGCCTTCATCTGCTGACACAGAGATACCCAAAAGCTTTCCTGGGAGGTGGGGGTCCACTCCCCACCCCTGGCTTATCAGTCTGTTTTACCTCTTAGCTCCTTAATTTGTGCCTTGGCTTATCAGCCTTCCCCCAGTCTATGGCCCCAGAGCAGGCCAGAGCCTGAGGGCAAAAGTATGGATAGATTTCTGTCCACTGTCAGGTTGCCTGTCACCTCAGGGCCAAGACTTTAATCTCAGAGAGGCTTGCAGGGATATATGATGGATATATCTCCACATATCCATCCTATGGCCAGCTTGGGCCCCCAAAACTTATCCCCTCAAACCAACAAAGCCAGTTTCACTAATGCCACCACTTTACCTTTTGGCAGCAGAGTCTATCTAGATGCCATACCCACTGGAAACTTTGCCTAAGCCTTTATAACCCCACCAACAAAATAGTAACAGTGCCCACTGCCTTTATTAAGAGCACCCTTTGAGGAGTTATATGAATAACGGAACAAGTGACTGCAGAACAAATGACTGCGAATCATGGAGAAGTAGTACAGAACCTAATGGGAGCCCGGGAGCCTATTGGGAGCCTGGATGAAGATGACAGGTGGTTCTTACCTCTCAAATATAGAAACTAAACTCTGCCAACCATAAAAAATTAAATTAAAAAACAATTTAAACCCACCATCCTGAGTCAACACCACTGCTGTTTTTCTTGTCTTCCAGTCTCAGCCAACCTCATCTCTCATTCAACCTGGCACAAGGCCCCTGCCTTGAGGTCATGGATCGAGTCTGAATCACCACCTCTAGTGCCCAGCAAAGGGGGTGTTTAATATAGTTCCTTAAGTGAAGGAACCCAGTGTAATCTGGATTCTTCACCTGTTCTCCTCTGAAACAGCCCTCACAGAGCCATCAAATATACCATTAATTGTAAATTCAATGGTTACCTTAAAGTGTTCAAGTTCTTTGATCTCTCAGGAGCCTATACTACTGTTGACCACTCCCCCTTCATTGAAACATTCACTTCTCTCAGCTTTACCAATACTTTCCTATTTCTCCTTCAACCTCCAGTTTTTCCTTTTAAGTCTTGCAGGCTTCTCATCCCCTCTCCTTCACACCCATGTCTTCAAGTATCATCTACATGCTAATATCTCCCAAATTTGTGTCTCCAAGACATACCTCTCCTGAAATCTAAATCTGCATGACCAATAACTTACTCAACATTTCCACTTCCCTGTACTGTCACTTGAACATGGCTAGAGTGGAGCTCATCATCCTTCAGTCTAGTCCATCTCAGTTAAAGGAACCACCATCTATCTAAGTGCCCAAGTCAGAACCCTGGTCATTGCCTTTGACCTACCACAGTTCCCACACCAAGTCTCACCAATTCTTTTTTATTTATTTATTAAATTATTCTTCAAAAAAATTTCTGATTACACTTTCCAATTACAGTTCAGTACTATTTTGTATTAGTTTTAGGTGTACAGCATAGTGGTTAGACAGTCATATACTTTACAACATGTTCCCCCTGACATTTTCGCCAATTCTTTATCATAAAAGATTTTAGGAATCTGATCTTTCTTTTTCACCTACCCTCATTCTAGTCCATGCCACCACAACTTCTGGGATGGAATAGGCAATTGCCTCTCTTCACATTGCCACCTGCTCTAAGATGGCAAAAAGCATCTAAGATGACACTTTACAAATGTACAATCTCATATCACTACATGGCTTTAAACCCTTGTTCTTGGAATAAAGACCTCATTATAGCCTAAATATCCTTGCATGATTTGGCTGACCCTTGCAGACGTTTCCAGTCTCCTGTCATTCTCCACTTGTACTCAATGCTTCAGTCCACAGAAGCCCAAAGAGGATTTCTATCCTCCAGGCACATGAAACTGGACAATTTCCCCACTCTCCGCCCTGTCTTGCCTCCTCGCCCATGCAGTTACTGAGGCTGGAAAGCTCTGTGCAGCCTCTGCCAATAAAACGTTTCTTTAGCAGTCAAGGTTCAGCTCAAGCGCAGCTTAGTCTGCGGAGACCCTCTGCTCCCCGTGTCCCGTGTCGTGTCCCC